ACCCTAAACCCCAGACCCCAAAACCCCAAAACCCCAAACCCCAAACCCTAAACCCTAAACCCTAAACCCTAAACCCTAAACCCTAAACCCCAAAACCCCAATCCCCAAACCTGGAGTCTCTCGCAAGCTCGAACGGTTCACCCAAGAGCGGCAAGCGAAGCTCCTCGTTGAAGCCTCGGACCTCAGAGAAGTGATCATAACGATTGGGTTTAGGGTTTAAAGTCTAGGTTTAGGGTTTAAAGTTTAGGGTTCGGGGGTTTAGGATGGTTTAGTGTTAAAGGTTTAGGGTTTAAGGTAAAACACAGTCAGACAAGCCTGGCAAGGTCTGTTAGGGATACTAGTCCAAAGATCACTAATTAGCATGGTTTACACTCTCACAACTCGGACAAGCTAGGCGGCATGGTTTAAGGTTTAGGGTTTAGGTGCTCACACTCGAACACTCCAAGCGAGGCATGTGGTTCGTGGTCTGATTGCTGTCTAAGGTTTAGGGTCTAAGGCTTAAGGTTTAGGGTAGTTCGTAGCTCTGTCAAGACGGGTCCCTTTTCGGGTGATTTTGTCAGGGTGTCGTACTATATTGGGGACCCTAATTTAGAGAATAACACGGTTAATTATCAAAAGAAGAGTTCCAAAAACAAGAATAGCAATAATTGTAACAATAGTAGTAGCATTCCGAGGTAGTAACTGCCATGCTGTAGTGGTAGTAGGAGATGGGGCAATGTTTGTAACATGCAGATATAAAATAAAAAGCTGATCCAGATACCTCTGCTCATACCAGTACTGATAGTACCAAAACCAACGATACCACACTACTCATAATATGTGTCATACTGCAATGACAAAAACAACAATAACAACAAGAAGCTACCAGCATTGGTAGCACGGATCCTTGCAACCCAAGTTCTTGCCATGTCTCACACTAAGGCCTAGAATCTCGAAACCCAAGAGGAAGCTTCAGAAGCTCTGGAACATTCTGGGCGCGGGCACGGAGGAACTTGTACGTGTAAAAACCGCACTAATGGTCAGGAATACGTGACATCACCATTACGCTTATGCTCACTATTCCGGTTTTTACTTTTGGTTTCTACCCCTAAACTCTCAATCCAGACTATGGTTCTTCCTGTTAGCATTGCTGGGATTCCGGCCCTGAGCACCTGGACTTCGGCGATGACCTCGCCTGCGGTAACGAAGTTCTTGGTTTAGACTTTAGGGTCGCTGAGGCTTAGGGTTGGGGCCTACGCTCTCCAGGCGAGGATCCGTGGTTGCAGGTCGGGTAAAGTGTAGGGTCTAAAGCTTACGACGATTCTCTAGAGCCCCTAAACCCTAAACCCTCCCAGAGTCCCTGTTCATGCAAGCTACTTCTCCCTTTTTTCGCTTAAAGACAAACTTCGTCTCCTCAAGGTCTGCAGCTAGGAGGCCCCCAGGCCACGAACTCGCAAGAACAAAAGACGAACCCATGAAGGTTTGGAGTAAACATACGAACCCATAAAGATGAGCATAAGTTGTAAAAAGGGGAGGCCTGATGGACTCCAAAAAATTCAGAAGTTCCTAAACCCTAACCCGAAGGCTCAAAAGGCTCCGACTCTCACCCTCGTGTTAAGGGTTTAGCCTTAAGTCTCTCGGCTCTGATGGTTTTAGGGAGTCTCCACAAAGATGAGGCTTGGATCACCATGTGAACTACAAAATATAGCATCCATACAGTAACAACTAAGCAGAGGGTTTGTGAGTATCGCAAACAGCGAAGATCCACATCTCTGCTTGGACTGCAGCTTGTCATCTGTTTCGCTGCTTCTGCGCCTGCTTCTTCGGCTGTCGGTGTCGCTACCTTCCAGTCGAAGGGTTCTCGGAGACTAACAAACTAATGCTCCACTCTGGCTGTAACTACATCATACTGCTAGTATGCTTATCGTGCAAAGGACGAGTGACAGTCATAAGCATGATAATGGAATTAGCAGCACCTAAAATGCACACGACAACAAGCTGTAATTACCTTATTAGCACGATTAAGAATGCAATTTTGCAAGTCGTAACGAAAACTGTTTCGGAAACAAACAAAAGGAACTAGTAAATAATGGCTTTAATATGGCCATAATAAGGGCTTATTTATGGCAATAATATGGGCTTAATATGGCCATAATAAGGGGTTAATATAGCCATAGGCCTTTTCAGTCCAGGCCCCCTAAGCACTTGAAGCAGGCCAGAGCCTCAGCCGGCTCCACCCAAGTCACGGGCCTGGCATCAGGCAACTCAGGGGTTAGGGTGTCGGTATGCAAGCGAAATCTAGGGTTTAGGGTTTAGGGTTGAGGGTTTGGGGTTCAGGACGAAATTTAGGAGTCTAATGTTAATTAGGGCTCTTCAAGTTTGAGGTTTGTGCTTTGAAGTTTGGAGCTCTGGGGGAAAAGTAGGGTTTCGGCATGCATACGGGGGACATGTAAATATGTAGAGAAAAGGTCCGCACATTCAAACATATACACGAAGATACATGGGTTTATGCTACACAATAAAGTAAGAATTGCAAGCACATACTCATACAAGCATACAGACACACACAATCACACACACATGCATATCTATCTATATATATATATACATAGGTATATGCATAAGCATATATTTTTAGCACTCGCACTCGACCAGGTCAGGCGTGCTTATATATATATATATATATCTCTCTCTCTCTCTCTCTCTATCTAACTATACATTCATCCATATTCACACAGAAAATTCATACACGGGGAGCTGCAGACACACTCCACAAAGACATGTATGCTGGACTGTTGCACACATACACACGTGTGTGCAGAAAAACAGACATCTAATGCATATGCATTATGCATTTGTATATGTATCTACGTGCGCTCTGCATGCATGCAGAAACAAACACATCCATAATATGTGCACACATGCATGCATGATTACATGCATGCTTGCATACATACCTATATACATACATGCGCAAACGCAGATTGGGGTGCACATGCTGCTGCATGGTGACCGTGAATGTGGGGCTGTTGCAGGCGAAGGCGATACCTTCATGCACGCCAGCTCGAACTCGTATTTTCCAGCATGGAATGCTTCCTTCCGATGGAGCCGCGCCACAACGTGCATTTGCCCAAGCACCAGAAACGATGGGATGCCGGGTTATCCTGCAACAAGATCACTGGTACAGCAACTGGTACAATCAAGCTGTTCACCCGTCCTCAAAAGCCAGAAACAACTTCTGCTGTTCAATCCCGGCCCAGTCTCACCCTTCGCTTCCATAAGTGCGCAAACACGGTGGATGCACACGACTTTGGATTTCAGTGTGAAGGCAGTCTGAGCACATGCTTCGGTTTGTATACTTAACACGAGAGACCGTCGGCTGCGCCCTGACATGAAAGCTCTGCTGCCAAGGTGCTGCATAGCCCTGCATTTCCTTGAGGAGTTCTTGGTCCGAGTCGCCACCCGCACGCAACCAAGCCTTGATCGCCTTCTGCATGGTGCTCGAAGCCAGTGCGGCGTTCCGGGACACAAGGGCTGCATTGAAGGCATCGTTTAAAGTGCGAGCATGTAGCCAGAGGTCGCCCCCGAACTCTGAATCGATGATCACAGACAGGCGGCATGTTAGCCTGTATGCCTCCTCAGGATCTGTTTTGATCAGTTCCTTCACTTTTTGGTCGAGAGCCCGAAACTCCGCCCGCAGCGACTCACTTTCGGCTCGTTTGGTAGCGGATGGCTCGCTGCAAACCTCACAGAAGCAAAGGAAGTGGTGGGAGCTCTGCAGGCGCAAGCGGCGCTGCTCAACGGAGCTCTCCAGGTCCGGCAAGTAGCTGATACAAAGTTCCTCCCCCCTTTCGCAGTCCTGGTAGAAACCCCCTACAGATTTTTTGCAGCTGGCTTGCAACGTCACGCCAGGACAGGCTGCACTCGTGAAGACCTAAACCCTAAACTGAAGCTAGCACCAGTATCGCTAGATGACACTACAGATCAAGCCAGGAGTGTATGCTTGTTTATGTGCCCCTTGCTCCCTCAGTCCTTGGTAACGTGCATCTTCAGGACAGCATCAGCTTTGTCCCCCCAGTACCAGACCACATTTGGGCGGCAGCTGTGATTGAACCGAGCTCCTGCAGAAAGCAACCCCCAAACCCTAAACCCCTGTGATTGAACCGAGCTCCTTGCAGAAAGCAGCCCCTAAACCCTAAACCCCTGTGATTGAACCGAGCTCCTTGCAGAAAGCAGCCCAGGATCCGCTTGTCGCCATTTCGCGTGAAGGTGTTCGTCCTGCAGATGCCGATCGCTGACTTCTCTGCACCGGCACAATCCTCCAGTTCCCAAAACCTGGGCTCTTCTTTTCAGGCGCGAAACTTAAGTTACCACACTTACATGGTGTCCGTGCTACGATGACTTAAACTACAGCAAGTTCCTTATCGAGAACCCAGGAACTGACGTTGGAGATTCGCATCGAGTCGGGAAATCATCTCCCGTAACTCAGATTCGAAGGGCTCCCTCTTGTCCTTCTCCAGGGGAAGTGCGCTCTTCTGCACCAGGAAGGCAGGTGGCTCCTTGCATGCTCTAAAACGCGATCACTTTTGCTTTCAACCGAAATGGGGCCATTTCGGTAGCATGTGCTTAGGCCTTAACAAAAGTACCAGGCCAGGAACAACTGGCAGACCAATTCGGGTGAGTCACACTCAGGATGCATTCACCCTTCTCCAAGTCGCGTAGCCCAGAGACTCCCAGCCCCCGGCCCGGAAAAGCCTTGACTTCCCACGGTGGCTCTGCCATGGCTCGAGTCGTCCCGGGTGATTTAGGGTCAAAGGTTTAGGGGTTTCGTTTGCAGCCATAAATGCTAAACCTCTAAACAACGAAACCCTATATCATCCTGTGCTTCTTAACCTTACTGCTTGGTATTAGGGCCTGGGGTATGCACAGCATGTATGTATGTATGTAAGTGTATGAAAGGGTCATCATGTAGCGTTTGGAGTGCTTACTCTTCAGCCGTCGCCCCCTGCTCACCTAACCCGCAGTATCTTGTCATGTCTTGAGATCCGAAACGCCGCAGCCACGATGATTTTATTGGGGTTATGTACTACCGATGCTCCTGACCTGCACATCTCACAGTCTGGCACAACAAATAAAATTGCAATCAGGACAGCCTGACAAAGAGCTCACCGCTTTCGCACAGTCGGCTATGACCTTCTTCACCTTACCGGTCAAAATGAACCTCTCATCGCCGCACAAGAAGCCGCCCGACAACATTCCGGTGCCACTGAGTCTGGCGCACTTTGTGACATCCCCGACGTAGCCACAAAAGCGGGACGATTCGTTTGGAAAATACCTGCCTGATGGGGGGAAGTCTCACAGGACGGGCGAACGGTGGCAAAACGCCCGGAGAACTCTTACCCTCCGCCTTGTGGCTTGCTATCTCCTCGCGAGTTGAGCCGAGGAATTTCTCGTGGTCCATGGCTATGCTCGAAATGGCACAGGCCTGGTCAGCTTGATTTCAGCCATTACGTGGCGCTTTGGGGCAGCTATCCCAATGCTCTCAATGGTGCAGCCGAGGGACAGCAGGCTCGATGAGGACGTTCGTGGCGTCGTCGCGACCACCCATGCCAACCTCCGTGACACACGAACCGCAAACCAGACAAGAAGCTGAGGGGCTGCGCTGTGGCGACACACAACTTCTCCACTGAACCTTAATATGGATCCCCGGTCTTGAGATGCCGGGGACATGTTCCAGAGCAACCAAGTCAGGACCGGGTGGAACATCATGAAACACGAGCAGAGATAGCATACAAATTGAAACACCAGAACATGGAATGGTGCTGGGGCAGTATTGTCAGTATGGGGTATTAGGCCAGCAAGACCGACATGGAAGCATGGGGAAGACCGATACCTTCTCCAGACAACATGTTGGCTCTGATGGGCGGTAGCTGGCACCGTAGCGAATTCACACATTTTCAAGAGAACGGCCGGCCTCCACAATGGCAACATCAACCTGGTCACATATATAGTGGCAGGGAGTCTCCATCTTCATTGGGTACCGGACAACATGCCCTATAAAATATGGCTGATACAGTAATTATTATACATGTCTTGTAGCACTCGCACACGACCAGGTCACGCGAGGTTTGGGGTAGCAAATGGTAGCAAGCTAGACAACCGCGGTTATTTCGAGCCGTACACTCCAGTGACAGCGAGACTCCCAATTCGGAAGTCCCCAGTTTCAGCAAGCGCCAATCCCGATATTCTACACGTTCGCAAAGTCACAACAGCCACGCAGCTCACCTCAGCAGAAAGCCTAGGCCTCAAGCATCCACCGAAGTCAGCCCAAGTCTATATCTAGAAACTCACAGGAGCAGCAGTAGCGTTGTAGGCAAGATCTCAGTTTGGCTAAATGTCAATCCAATTCCGCAGCATGTTAGCATTCCCACTGCATACTGTATAAACCGATAGATAGAAAGAAAGATCGAACACAAATACCTACATCAGCATATATCATGCGAATATACAGATGTAATATTGTTGAATCTGAAGTGAACCCACTGATGCATCGCAATCTCGCTGTGGCACCTGCTGACGGGCGAAGAGTGTCAGCGCCATGACGACTTGTAACTCAAACGTTGTGAGTGAGAGCGTCCTGCAGAGTTTAGGGCGGGTATAAGTGTTTATGGTTTCCGTGCCGCTGTTCTGAGACAGTGATTTGTGGGATCCAGCCATACCATGGTCTAGCAATTTGAAGGGATGTGCGAATGTCGCCAAGCCCTCACCCGCCGTGAGCGGCTAAACCATCTACGACACCTTCTGCTAGACCGAAAGGAACATCGAAAAGAATTCGGAGCAACGCGCACATTCATTCGTGTGACCGTGTACGGGGAGCACAGAAAGACTATTCAAAGGCTTGTCGCTACAGGCAAAGGTCCTGGCGTCTGCCTGTGGCTCTGCTGGCCGGCATAGTTCAATGATCTCATCCTGGAGAGAGCTCAGCTGCTCTTTCGGGAAGTCTTTGTCCTCGCATCACAAACAGCAGGAAGGGCGCACTTCAGTGACAAATACAAATGAGATATGATTTCCAGCCAAGGTCCATAAACCATCCTAATGTAGGGGCCTAAATAATTACCAATAATATTTTTGGGGGTTCCTTATCATAACTATAGTAAAATAGTATACCCCAAAAACCCTATTCTAATTTTTTTCACGCCCCTACATTAGACCCCAAACCCTAAACTTAAACCCTCAATCCCGCAGAGGTCCTCGCCATCCTCCGCTAGGCGGAAAGCATCAGAGGGCTCCACGAGATGAGGTGAGGTAAACATCGCAACGCGCAGCTTCGCCTGCCTTCATGGAACTGGTCTGTCTAGTGCTTAGTAGGGAATGGGGGAATGGATCCCTATGATAGTCCCTTAAGGTTCCTTATATTGGTCCCTATAACCCATTCCCCCACTCCCTACTAAGCACCGGACAGTGGTTTAGGGTTTCGGGTTGTGTGCGCTCACGCAACTCGGACAGTGTCAGAGGAGGTCTCTCTCGGGTCGGTACAGGACTACAATCTACAAGAAGTCTTTCTTCTCAACGCCGTCTGCGCAATTCCGACACAACGCAGTCTGCGCAATTCCGACACAACGCAGTCTGCGCAATTCCGACGCAACGCTGTCTGCGCAATTCCGACGCAACGCTGTCTGCGCATGGCCATAGCACTCGCGGCAGGATTCATGAGACACGTCGAAGGTGATCAAGTTCCTGTGGAAAACATCCGACGCGGCATCGTAGACCACACTATCGACATCATCATACCAGCCCATGAGCTCAGATACATCATAGTCCACATTCCCAGACTTTGCTGTAGAGCTCGGCCTGATATCATCGAAGTCAGACTCCTGGCAAGCTCCCAAACATCTTGTGGAGCAGGCATATTGACAAGGCCCACTCTTCGGTTGTGCCCACAGAAGAGAAGCCTTCCCGCGCCCTCCGAGCCGCTTCCTCCGCATCCTCACGCGTCATCTTGGGCCGGTCAGGGTCGAGCGTCTGCGTCGGGTGCAGGTTGAAATCGACCACCAGCTGATACGTCATGCCTCCCTTCCAGCTTTCAGCAAACTCCAAGACAGGCACCTTCGGCAGCCCGGGCACGGGCTGACTGCATACCGACATGTCAAGCGATCCGTTGGCATACATGGCAAGCATGTCCTGCCCATGGTCTTCATAGCTCACCGCCGCAAAGTTGTCGGCGTCGTCGTGGTAGGCGGACAAAATACGTTGCTCGGGATTTCGGAACATCCCCACCAGTTTACCCTTCCTAGCCATGTAGCTGTCAATTGGCTGGTGTGGAAAGGCTTCGCTGAAATGTGGGCAGAAGAACTTCTTCGCATCGCAGACTTCCGGGCACAAGTTTGAGTACCATTTTTCCATGAAGCAGGTCTCCAGCGACTGCTCATCGACGACAAGGCTGCTGGCAAGTGGGCACACTCCGGTGAGATGTATCAAAGAATTGATGAAAGAACTGCCACATTTCGCGAAGTGGAGCCAGTAAAGCGGCTCGGCCGCTTCCAAGCGCGGAAGCCCTCCTCGAAGGCGTGCTGGCACATGCCCCGAGGCAAGGGCGACGGCCAACAGCAGCAAAAGCGAAGGAAGCTCGGGCACGGGTTGCAGCAGCATCAATGGTTCGGTCTTTGAGCATCTTTGAGCCGTAGCCAGTTTGCGTGCTTTGGGGTTTAGGGTTTGTATGAGCTTCGGGTTCAGGGTTTAGAAACTCACAGCACAGGATGAAGCAATAATACAGCACCACCTTCAATCCGGGGCTGACCCCGCAGTTAGCATGTCGGGTGCCTCAACGCAGAGAAGAGCATGGCGCAAACCTCGGAGTGGCTCCATGACCCACAGGAGCATCCGACATGCACATAAGCTGCTATGGCCGACTTCGGAGAATCTTTGCCAAGCCACGCTCCCTTTGCCGTTGGTGCCAGCCACGTGCAGCACACGCCCTTTCAGCGATTGCTGAGGCGAGCCAAGTCTGTCCAGGGCCGATAGGACCCGACCCAGGCCAGGGTCGATCTCTCCGCGTGGCATCGCGGATGGATGCTGATGGCAAGGCCTGGATGAACCGTTTTACTGATTCTAGAATATACTATAATATACTAGAATATACTATAATATACTACAATATACTGTAATATACTATAATATACTAGAATATACTACAATATACTAAAATATACTGTTCCGTAAGTTGTCAAATGTGCGTGGACTCAAGACCGGAACCTGTCGCGGCTATGCATTGTGCCCATGAATCTCCGAGCTTCCGGGGTCCTATGGTCCTATGGTTTCCTGAAGCTGTCGCACAGTGGGGTCTTCGGGTTTTAGGGTTTTAGGGTTTTTGGGGCTTTAGGGTTTTAGGGTTTAGGGTTCGCAGGTTCGCAGCGCTGGTGCACTTCTGCTCCTTTCTTTGTGGGGTTCTTGCAACCATGCAGGGACCCTAAGCTCAAGCCGTGCTACGCCAAGCGGGGCATCTGTTTCACAGCGGCAGGAGCATGCATGACATGGGCGACATGCAGACGTCTGCTTCAATGACGTTTGCAAGCACTAAGCACGTACAGCTGCAGGAGGGCGTCCGACAGGGAACATTGACAATTGACATCGTACAGGTGTGCAATGCCCCAAGCGGAGTCTGGATGGAATCCATGACTTTAATACTGGTCTATTATGTTAATGTTGTTCACTATTTCGAGTTTCGGGCGCAGGAGACATCGCAAGTCAAGTTGCTTTCCGATTCTCAGAGATCTTGGTCATTGCAGGTATTTCAGTCTTTGGATGCCTTACGCAAGAGACCCGTGCTCCTGCCATTAAATCACACCGAGACACTGTGCATCCGACATGTCGTAGATGCATGATCTCAGAAAAAGGAGTGCCACAGCAAAGCCGTGAACTACGTTTGTCGTAAACAGACAATGCAACGAAGCCCCAGATCTATTTTTGGAAGCTTGGGGTGTTGCCGCAGTTGAAAAAGTTGTTTCAAATTAAACAGGATGGTGGTGTTCACCGAAACTTCCTCCACCAGATCCACAATGCTTCTTGCATGTCAAGGACGTCTTCAGCTCTCCCTTCGTGGACTGACGCACTTTGGGTCGAGGATCTAAGACCTCACTCTTGCAAAAGAAGCTTGTCGATGGTGGTTTGAAACGCTGTGAATGCTGACTGCTGGGCTGGCTCAGAAGCATCTGTGCCGATATTACAATAGCTTGCAGAGTATGGGGTTTAGATTTCTACTCCCGGAAATCGGACTCCGCCAAGCGGTCTGGGTTCTGCGGTATAGGGCACCAGTGAGACAAGCCCTTTGCCAGCCCAGTCTCAGCCCCTGTCATCGAAAAACATGTGCGCAGTTCACATCGTCATCCCGAAAGGACTCGGGTTTGAGCTTGGGATCACGTCGCAGGGAGTCGCTTTCAACGTCTCGGCCTCCTCCGTAAACTCCTCCTCAAGCTCGCTTGCCACTGTGTCTTTCAAGGCTCCGCCATCGCGATCATCAGCAAGCTTGCTTTCATCGCGCTGCTGGGAGGCATTCATAGCTGAGAAGTAGGCACCGCTAGAACTCGTCCCTGGATGGCGAACCTGGAGTTTGATAGCCATGTCCATCATAATCCTGTCCATCTCCTCAAACTTGCTACGTGTCATCTGCGTCAACTTGCCGATGTCGCTGTCATCCGCCGCCTCGTCCAAGGATGGCCAAGGCAACTCTGGTCTCGCAAGTCCCCCGTAGCGTTGCACCCGATCTAGTGGCACCTGGGGATGCTTCAAATATTCATAGGGCTCCTCTGTCGTGGGCACCGCACCACGCGGACCGTTGTCACCCTGGTCGAGCTCGCACGCCTCTTCCAGACGCAAGGACATCAAAAAGGCAGTCCATCGCCTCTTGGAGATCAAGGGCATCGCGGTCTCGTAGATGTTGATGCCACGCGTCAACCGGGCATTGCCGCGTGCATGAAGGAAGAGCTCATTGTAACGCTGGCATAGCTGTGCCACCATAAGGTTCATGAGGTACACATGCCAGCATGCGGCGAAGCCCATGACAAGCCACTTCAGCAACGGCTCATCTGCTTGTGCAATCTCCTCGTACTTGTTGCCGCCATAAGCACTAAATGCCATAGACAACAGGGATTCGAAAGCCATAGGCCAGCTGAAGAAGTCCCTCATCTGAACAGACTGGGTGCCTAAGGAATGAGGCAAGCAAGCGATTGCTGAGGCGAAAGCAGCGGTGAAGAAAACGAGGGCAGCAATGTACATGACGAACTCCGACATCAGGCACGAGCAGATCACACTGAAGACGGACAGGTGCACGTTCAGGTGCACCAGCTCACATGCCAGCACGAAGTACAGGAGCACCGGGAAGGCAGCGACGCGGTTGTAGGTGTGCATGAGGTTGCACTGCCATTCACCAAACTCGCAACAATCGGTAAGCAGCTCGCTGCTCACTGCGAGGCAATGGACGACTGGCTCACAGCAGAAAAGGCACACGAGGAAGAGAAGCAGGACTACTTCGACCACTTCCTGGCGCGTCTGCAGCATGTACTTCGGCACAGCCAGGCATCCACAAAAACGCGTGATTTGCTTCTGGCGGATGGCTCTGTACGTTTGGTACCCGTGCTTGGCGAAGAGCTGCCCCAGGCTAAAAGTGTACAAGAAAGCCCGGCACAAGATCACCGAGAACCGATCCGGGCTTAATGGGTCACGTGGCAGAAAGGCTTGCTGCTCGGCCACGATGTACACCAACAGAGTGATGCAGAACCATAATTTCGTCATAGCCCAGGGCACGCAACAAAGACGAGTCCAAAGTAGGTCGGCTTGAAAGACCGCTGTGGGGTGGCAAATGATTGTGGGGTCACCATGCTTGATCAAGTCCAAGAGCGAATCTGTCAGTTGGCCTTCTTCGTCACTGAGGAAGGAAGCAATGTAATAGTTCGCGCGCCGGGCTCCATTCTTCACATTCTTGGACCGCCAGATCAGCCCGTCAAATAATGCCGGGAGCAGTGAGGGTGCCTTTTCACAAAGCGTGCTGATGATGTCAGGATGGCGTGTGAACAATGCTTCCATGCCATAGTAGTATCGCTCCCGATCTGCACGAATGGCCAGCAGGTCGTCCAGAATCGCCGTCGCCGACTCCAAAGCCCCCTTCTCCACGGCCCAGATTAGAGGAGACATGGATTCGGTACCCACCTGAACTCGTAGCAAGATCACCTCACGCTCACCACGCGGGTAGTTCGCGACGGCAACCTGGATATCCTTGGAAGTGTTCTTGTTGATGGCAATGATCACAGGTGTGGACCCCTCGGCTAAGGTCCGGATGAAGATCCTGCCCATGAGATCCAAAGTCCACCAGAGCCCATCATACAGAGATGCATCCGAGCAGTATTCCTTGATTGTGCCCATGAAGGCTTGGACAAAGGGGCGAACCAAATCCTCTGGAATCCCAAGGCCGGCATGCATAAGGCCTAAGGCTGACAAGGCAATGACAGCTTGATGAGTCTTCGTGTAGATCTCAGACATGATCTTCAGAACCCTTCCCATGATGTAGACCAGCCGCTTGTTGGCTGCCCGTAGATACAGCTGGGACTCCTCGCAGTTGGCAAAGAAAGTATCAAAGACCTGAAGCTTGAATCCTGCCAGGGTGGCCTCGTCCAAGTGCCCAAGGAAAGTCCGTAAGCACTGGCGGTTGGTGCTGATGAGCCGGCCATTACTTTCGATCTTGCTCTCCACAATGCTCCAAAACCAAGCCCATGCGCTCTCATGGTCGGAGCTCCATGTCGTGGGCAGGAGGGATCTCAGGCTGGCAAACATCACGGAACGGAACTCCTTGAGGTTCACATTGCCATGTTTGGCCAGCGTCAAGGTCAAGACATCGCAGTCTTCCTGCACTCGATCTATGTTGCCGATGAAGGGCACCAGGGATTCCATGGCGTAGAGCATGTCGGCAAACCACATGCGGTCTCCGATGCCCATGACCGCAGCATTGAATCGAGCCATGGCAGCAAAAGTCTTTGGAACATTCATGTTCGAGTTATCTTCGCACTTTCCACGGCTTTTCTGGTCGCCTTCTTTCTCCATGCTAGTGTTGTTCTTCACCTGCTCGACATTCAGGTGCTGCTGCGGCTTGTCTTTCGAATCTTCGTGGTTGCCTTCCCCTTCTACGCCTTCACCCTCTTCGATAGCCTTTGCTTCTGGCTGCTCTCCGGCCTCAACATCATCCGCGTTCACCTCCTTCCAGCAGGACGTCAAGAGCTTCAGACGCGCGGCATAGTGCTCGTGGGTATTGGCCAATGAGGTACCCACAGCGACGACGACCTGACCCATGCCCAACTGGAACTCGGGAGTCATGAGCCCCCCAAGCCTCGAAGCACAAACTTCAAGGAGGATGTTGCGGAAGGCCTCGATGTCGGCCGTGGTGATCTCTGCATTCATGTGGCGCAGGGCGATGTGCTCCAAGCGCTTCTGGAGGAGTTTCGGCTGATCAAGAGCTTGCAGCAAGTCGGTCAAAAGGTGCCACACGGTGCTGGACCTCTTAAGCATGGCCTCTGTTCCAGGCACCTGGGACTTTCCGAAAATTTGGGT